TCTCTACCAGATCTGTCTTATCAGGAGATAAGAAGGGGACACTGGAAGAAGCGGAGAATCGGAGATGTCAGGATCAAACAGCCTTTGTACACAATGCAGAGGATTAACCCCTTAGGTTCCACAGTGAGTATAACAAGCATGCTTTACTGCATATACAGACTGATTTTACTGTTGGGGGTTTAGTAACACTTTAAATTACATTTATCTTTTTATAACTATAGAACAGAATAATAAATAGTATTAGGGATATACACCATCAGAGTTATTACCTGACACCAGCCCTGATTTAGGGCAAAGTAACAGTGTTGATGAAAAGGTTCCCCCATAGCCATTGATACTCAACTCCTCAGCCACCCTCCACCACTCCTCTCCACAGTTAGCATGAAAATACCCAGTGTCAGAGCCTAGAGGAAATGGTCCCCTCTTTCACATGACAATGCTCAGGTTTAGACGTCAGCCGCTAGGCCCCAGCACTATCACATGCTCTCTCATACCCGGAAGTACTGGGTCCTTTGAACTGGCTAGGGTAGAGGAAGGATCAGAGAGGGATTGCCGGAATAGGGAGTATCAGACACTGTAAGTTTTGGGTAGAGTGGAGGAAGACTTATAACCTGTGTTGTTAGTTTCTTTGCCCTCATTTGGGAAATTTCTCTTTAGGCCCTGAAACCTCTGATTGGTGTCACACAGAAAAGAAAGCAGATTCGTCCACAGGGCTCAGCCATAAGGACACAGCCACAAGGGAGCAGTACAGTGTACATCAGAGTCCGCAGACCCTCCATAGAAACCTCTATGGGACCAACAATTTCTGCCTATAGACACCAATTACAAGGTGCGGGTGTGCGCTGCTACTTGTGTAACGCACGTGCACGGGTGTATGCCCAGACAAACACTGTGCATGCACATGCTTTTTGCAAGCACCAGCGCATACCAGCACCTTGTAATTGCTGTCCATGGGGGAGGGGGGTGGGCTGTATGCAGCAGCTGTGGGTCCTGGGGAGCATAAGGCTCAGTTCACACTAGCTTTGTCAGCAGGCATCAGACAGGTGTTTGGGAAGCGTTTTTAACGCTTCTCAAATGACTATGAAAATTCTGCATATAGCAGCACACTGTGCTGTTCACACTGAAGCGTTAGCATTGCGGCAAAACTGACGCCTCGTGTGGAGTCAGAAGTTGAAGCTTCCTATTCAAGTCTATGGTGCCGCTCCGCAAATGCCTGCCATGCGTTTATGGTGCCGCTCCGCAAACGCCTGCCATGCGTTTATGGTGTTCCACTGAAGCTCCGCAAAACGCCTGGCAGGCACATGGCAGCACACAGTGCTGTTCACACTGAAGCGTTAGCATCGCGGCAAAACTGATGCCTCGTGTTGAGTCAGGAGCAGCTTAAGCTTCCCATTCAAGTCTATGATGCCGCTGCGCAAACGCCTGCCAGGTGTTTATGGTGCCGCTTCGCAAACGCCTGGCAGGCGTTTACAGTGCGGTTGCGAGGCGTTAATACCATTTAACTTCATTATAGATGTTTGTGGTGCGGTTTCAACGCTTGGCAAATTCCTATGAAAATTCTGCACATGGCATCACACAGTGCTGTTCACACTGAAGCGTTAGCATTGTGGCAAAACTGACGCCTCGTGTCGAGTCAGGAGGAGCTTAAGCTTCCCATTCAAGTCTATGGTGCCGCTCCGCAAATGCCTGCCAGGTGTTTATGGTGCCGCTCTGCAAACACCTGGCAAGCGTTTACAGTGCGGTTGGCGAGGCGTTAATACCATTTAACTTCATTATAGGTGTTTGTGGTGCGGTTTCAACGCTTGGCAAATGCCTATCAACCGCCTCAAAACCACGCATAGGGCTTTTGGGGAGCATTAAAAACGCTTCCCAAACGCCTAACGCCTGTCAAATGCTATAGGGGCGTTTAGCAAGAGTTAGAAATAAAGTCAAGTGTGAACGAGCCCTAACCCATGCATGCTCTATGGCCCCCTTGCTGCCATGTACATAAGCCCTAACAGGGACACAGGCAGCAATTATAAAAAAAACAAAAAACACGAGTTTCTAATTGGGAAGGTTCAGGATCTCAGTCAGGATTTGCTGTTGGCAATGTCCCCGTGGGGAAGGTCCCCCTCACTCCTTGTATCTACTACATGAGGACACAACATGCCTGAAGTACTAACACAGAGAATTATCCAGAATGGCACACGTAGGGATACAGCTAAACCGGATGACAGTGTACATTCTCCAGCGCTCCAGGAATCAACTGCCAAAGTGAAGCCAGGGGAACCAAGGCAAAAAGGTGGCCTATGGACAGCATTTCGGGGATGCCGCCCTCCTCAGACAGGGAAATCAACAACTGGAAAAAGATCAAACAGGAGGCGCAATCACCTAGTGCGGGTGTCGGCAACCCGCGGCTCCGGAGCCGCATGCGGCTCTTTTTCACCTTTCCTGCGGCTCCGGAGCACACTGCCCACCAGGTGACAGGCAATAGGGTCGGCAAGCCGCGGCTCTTTTAATGCAGATCTTCTGTGTGCCGGGCGCCCGCTGGCAAACATTGGCTGTCAGGATGTAGGCGGGGCAGCCCGGATGTAGGCGGGGCAGCGTGACGAACTCCTCTCCTCTCACAGTCCGCCCTGAAGACCAGAACGGCGCGGGAACCCAGCGAGAGGAACGCGCGGAGCAAAGGTAAGTGAATTCACACAATATGGGGAATGAATTACTATAGGGGGGGTGAATTACTATAGGGGGGATGAATTACTATAGGGGGGATGAATTACTACGGGGGATGAATTACTATAGGGGGGATGAATTACTATAGGGGGGATGAATTACTATGGGGGATGAATTACTATATGGGGGATGAATTACTATAGGGGGGATGAATTACTATATGGGGGATGAATTACATATGGGGGATGTATTTTCAGTTTTAAAAATGTTTCTCTCAAAATAAATTTCAATCGTGGTTTTGGCGAGATTTGGCTCAGTCGAAAAAAAAGGTTGCCCACCACTGACCTAAGGCTATGATTGTGATTATGACGATACACTGTGGCCCTGATTAACCCTTTACTTACTGGGCCCTTAAACCCCCTTCATGACCAGAGCGTTTTTTGCAATATATGCAGTGTCGGATTTGTTTTAAATGTTGCAATGGTTTTGCGGCTCCCAGTCTTTTTTTCCCTCTCGGAAACGGGTCCAAGTGGCTCTTTATGTCTTAAAGGTTGCAGACCCCTGACCTAGTGCATTATCCAAGGTTTATTAGAAAGTCAAAAAGATGAAAACATACTCCCAGACATAGCATGTTTGTAAAGCTTAGTATGGAAATCGAGATGGACACAGCAGAGGGCAGGATGTTCCGGCTGTCAGTGTGGTCCGCTTGCTGACGCGTTTCGGGGACGACTCCCTTTCCTCAGAGCTAGTAGGCTGGTTACTAAGCTTTACAAACATGCTATGTCTGTGAGTACGTTTTCGTCTTTTTGACTTTCTAATAAACCTTGGATAATTATTATTATTATACAGTATTTATATAGCGCCAAAGGGTTTGCTCAGCGCTGTACTAATGCACTAGGTGTTTGCACCACCTGTTTGCGCTTTTTATACAGCTAAACTACAACATACACACACCGGCCACTTTATTAGGTACACCTGTTCAGTTGCTTGGTAACACAGATTGCTAATCAGCCAATCACATGGCAGCAGCTCAATGCATTTAGGCATCTAGATGTGGTGAAGACGACTTGCTGAAGTTCAAACCGAGCATCAGAATGGGGAAGAAAGGGGATTTAATTGACTTTGCGCGCGGCATGGTTGTTGGTGCCAGACGGGCTGGTCTGAGTATTTTAAAAACTGCTGATCTACTGGGATTTTCACGCAAAACCATCTCTAGGGTTTACAGAGAATGGTCCAAAAAAGAGAAGATATCCAGTGAGCGGCAGTTGTGTGGAGGAAAATGCCTTGTTGATGTCAGAGGTCAGGAGAATGGGCAGACTGGTTTGAGATGATAGAGAGGCGACAGTAACTCCTGTCAACAGTACTAGTAAGGTGTACCTAATAAAGTGGCCGGTGAGTGTAATCATACACATGAATGTGCTGTGGGGGTGTGGGATTATATTAAAACGTTCATAGGTCCAAAAGGCATCTGTGACACAGCTTCTCAATGAGACTAAAGTACTCTCTACAACAGGGGTGGTGTCAAACTGGCGGCCCTCCAGCTGTTGCGAAACTACAAGTCCCATCATCCTTCTGGCTTTGGGAGCCATGCTTGTAACTGTCAATCTTGCAATGCCTCATGGGACTTGTAGTTTGGCAACAGCTGGAGGGCTGCCAGTTTGACACCTGTGCTCTACAATATATAAAGGGAACAGCAGGGGGCACCCACTAAGTGCACTATATAGGAAAAGGCTATTAAAAAAACACAAGTGGCAACTCACAAGATAATCTTAGAAGACTTAAAGTCTTTTCCTATAGACTGCACTTAGTTGGCGCCCACTGCTCCTTCTTTTATGTCTGAAGTACTACCACTTCCCCAGCATGTTAAAAAAAAAAAGTTTTGCTGAAGTTATTTTAAGCTAAGTAGACTTTGTAGGTAAAAGATGCTCCACCATTTAATATGTGGTCTCACATACTAGTTTTTAAAACAGCCGAGGAAAGAAAAAAATACTATTTTCATATAATAAATAGATCAATAACTATTTCTCAGCATAAATAAAGCTAGATACACCTTAAGAACGTATCCCTCCGTGTCTAAAATGAGAACTGCCTGTAAGCCCTAGCCATGAGAATCTTTCATGGTCAAGCAGTGGTTTTTGGGGCAGGTCTGAATCAACATATTTCGGACACTTCAAAACCCGATATATACAACAGTACCTAGCTTGTGAAAGGTTTCTATACAATGATCCCCATTATATACAATTAATATTTTGGTGTCTCTCTAAAAGTTCTTTCACCAGCTTTTCTAAGGAGAAGAGATGCTCGTCTGCATCTTCTGGTACAAGGTCCCTGAGCGAATTGGCGAGTTCAAACAGGTATTCCGTGTTTTTTCCGCTGGGGCCGACAGCATACAGAATCTGCTCTGCGATGTCTTCTAAGGGAGCGGGGCCCAGGTAGTTGGGATTATCACAGGTTCCGATATAGAGAAGAACATTGAACGGTTTTATGGAAGGATCTTTGGGGTAAAAGACAACAGTAGTAGTCCTGTAGCCGCCCTTCTCTCGGAAATCCAGGTACGCTTTGACTTCTTCCTCCTTTCCCTCTGGCAGCCTGTAAGCAACTCCCCAGACACAGCCCTGTTAAGAAGAAAATATAATGTTAAAGTAGACCTCTCAGTGGCTACCAGGGGCGGACTGACCATTTGGAAACTCGAGCACTGCCCGAGAGCCCGGGGTCAGTAGGGGGCCCCATGAGATGCCCCTGGTACCTTTTTCATAGGCGTTTTTGAGTTTGGGCAAGGACACAGGGGCTCCATGATCTCCTAGTGCCCGGGGGCCCCGTGAGTTTTCAGTCCGCCCCTGGTGGCTACATGTAAACAACATCATTAAAAAGTGCTCCTTAAAGTGGTTGTAAACCTCCGAAATTTATTTCATTTATTTATTTCAGGTACTTATATCGCTCCGTCAATTTACGCAGCACTTTACACATATATATATATATATATATATATATATAGTACATTCACATCAGTCTCTAACCCTCAAGGGGCTTACAATCTAATGAAAAATGAATAAAGCATATCCCTTCTATACTGTGTGCTTGCATCAATCCAGAGCACCTCGTGTGATTTCTGTCTCCTCTCCCTCTGCTGTCTGCATTAGTCACTTCTGACAGGTTATCCTGTTACTACAAAATTTTGGGGGAAGCCCCTCCCAGCTGATTGACAGCCTCAGCTGTGTATGTTTCCTTATGAGACTGAATACACATGGGGGTGCCCTTTCTCACCACTCAGGTCACAGGTTACACTCAACTCCCTGCTGTATGTTGTGTAGATTGTGACAGATCCCCGCCCCCTGCCTTCTGGAGCTCAGAGATGCTGTGTATAGGAATCTCAGACCTTCTACTGGTTTATGGGAGGAACAGTTTTTTTTGTTCCTGATTTAGACCTATTAAACCATTTACCTGCATATGAGATGAGGTTAAACTCTCAAAACTCTTAGTGGAGGCATTGCCTGCTTGCAGTGTGTTTGGGAACCACTTAGGGTGGGACTAGACTCTTTCAATCAACAGAGCTCTGTGTATAGGAAACAGTGATCTGACTGTTTATTCTCCCTGCAAAGCAGAGAGAATAAACAGCCATACAGTAAAGTGAAAGCACATATTACAAAGGCACACAATTAACCCCTTGATGTCAACCCCTTCCCAGTCAGTGTCATTAGTACAGTGTACAGCATTAGCACTGATCACTGTATTAGTGTCACTGTTGATGTCAGTCAGTGTATCTCATAGCTAGCACCAGATTGCCTACCACACTATCACAGTCTCACTAGAAGTTGCTGATCACCGCACCGCAATCACCAGTATAGTGTCTATAGCTGTGTAAATTCCAGTATATATACACACACCATTGCTTGGAGATGCTATACATTTTGCACAAATCAATTAGTATAAACTTTTTTTTTTGGCCTAAATTTATGAAAAAAAATTAGATTTTTTTAATTGGATAAGTTTCATAACAGAAAGTTAAACCTAGAAAATATAGGTTTTTTCCCCCTAACATTTGCGGTCTTATTCGGTTTACATAATAATAATTAAAAAAAAAAAAGTGATGATCAAAATACCACCAAAAGAAACCTCTATTTGTGTAAACAAAATGATATAAATTTCAATTGGGTAGTGTTGCACAACCGTGCATTTGTAAGTTAAAGTAGCGCAGTGCCGAATAGCAAAAAAAAAAACACCCTGGTCATGAAAGTGGCAAAACTTTTGGGAGCTCACGTTGTTAAACTTTTTTTCCTAAATTTCTTTAGTTACTTTCTGGTTTATGGCCCTGGCCAAAATGATGTAATAGATCTCAGGAATCTTCATTTACATTTTTTTATTTTAGGGGCTCTCTCCTCTAAGCAAACATTTTGCATGCCTGAGCCAAAGACAGATGGATTCCAGGTATTAAAAGCTACATGAATCATCTGCCCTTACCCAAGACATCTACAGTCAGAAATGCTACTGGGGGGTTTTACAAAAAGGGATTTCTCCACAAAATAAAGTATCTCTCTCTCCCCCCCACCGAGGCATGGTCTCCAGCCAGTTGCAGATTCCCTACCCTTCCAGTTCTTATGACCTCCCATAATTGCCCATAGTACCCCTCAACTTTTCCACAGTGACCCCAAGCCATTGAATGTCCTTAGCCCTCACAGTGCCCTCCAGTCTTCAACAGTGCCTCTGCAAAGCCCCCAGCCTCCTGGAGAGACCCCAGCCCCTTTCCAGAAACCTCATCCCAAACATGACCAAGTCTGCTGCAGAGCCCCCTAACCCCCCCGCGGAACACCTTCCAAAAGTGATACCCAGCCCCACCCACAGCTCTCCTGCATTTCAATTCATATTTTGGATGAGGAGCTCTCTCAGCCAAGCACACCCTCCTGCTTGCACTAAGGGCAGATGGATTCCAGGAATTAGATGCTACATGATTCATCTGCCCTTATTCAAGATGGCCACAGCCAGAAATGTTAGGGGGTGTTTTATAAAAGTGATTTCTCAACAAAATAAAGCAAACCTACCATTACACACAATCTTATGAATACAACTGGATATAACATTTACAGGTAAAGTTGATCCAGGGAATATCCGATTGCCTCTCGGGGGATCAGGAAGGCATTTTTTCCCTGCAGAAGCAAATTGGATCATGCTTTGCTGGGTTTTTTTTTTTCCTTCCTCTGGATCAACTGTATGTGTAGGATTATAACTTTTTTTTTTTTAATGGTTGAACTGGATGGACTTTTGTCTTTTTTCAGCCAGACTAACTATGTAACTATGTTCTGTTTCTAGATTGTTAGGTTCTCAACCACTGAGCCATGGCCTCCAGCCAGTTGCTTTCAACCTCCTATAATTGCGCATAGTACCCCTCAACGTCCCTCAGTAACCCGAAGCCCCATAAATGCTCTCAGCTCTTACAGTGCCCCCAGCCCCAACTTCCCACAGTGCCCTCCAGTTTTCAACAGTGCCCTTGCAGTCTACTAACCCCCCTCAGAACTCCCTTCCAAAAGTGACACCCAGCCCCACCCAGAGCCCTTTAGCATTTCAATACATACACCGGCCACTTTATTAGGTATACCTTGCTAGTACCTGGTTGGACCCCCTTTTGCCTTCAGAACTGCCTTAATTCTTCATGGCATAGATTCAACAAGGTGTTGGAAACATTCCTCAAGGATTTTGGTCCATCATAACATGAGTTACTGTTGCCTTTCTATCATCTTGAACCAGTCTGCCAATTCTCCTCTGACATCAACAAGGAATTTTTGTCACACAACTGCTGCTCACTGGATATTTTCTCTTTTTCAGACCATCCTATGTAAACCCTAGAGATGGTTGTGCATGAAATCCCAGTAGATCAGCAGTTTTTAAAAGACAGCCCTGGCCAAAAGTTTTCAGAATGACACAAATATTAATTTTCACAAAGTCTGCTGCTTCAGTTTTTTTTCAGATTTTTTTTTTGTCAGATGTTACTATGGTATACTGAAGTATAATTACAATAATTTCATAAGTTTCAAAGGCTTTTAATTGACAATTACATTACGTTTATGGAAAGAGTCAATATTGGCAGTGCTGACCCTTCTTTTTCAAGACCTTTGCAAGTCACCTTGGCATGCAGTCAATCAACATCTGAGCCACATCCTGACTGATGACAGTTCATTCTTGCATAAATCAATGCTTGGAGTTTGTCAGAATTTGTGGAGGGTTTTTTCATTCACCCGCCACAAGATTGACCACAAGTTCTCAATGGGTTTCGGGTCTGGGGAGTTTCCTGGCCATGGACCCAGAATTTTGATGTTTTGTTCCCCAAGCCACTTAGTTATCACTAAGTGCTGGCAAGGTGCTCCATAATGGATTGGGGGTTATTTTTGTACCATTCTTTATTCATGGCTGTATTCTTAGACAAAGTTGTGAGTGAGCCCACTCCCTTGGATGAAAGGCAACCCCACACCTGAATAGTCCCAGGATGCTTTACTGTTGGCATGACACAGGACTGATCGTAGCACTCACCTTTTCTTCTCTGGACAAGGTTTTTTCCAGATGCCCCAAACAATCAGAAATGGGATTCATCAGAAAAAATGACTTTACCCCAGGCCTCAGCAGTCCAATCCCTGTACCTTTTGCAGAATATCAGTCTGTCCCTGATGTTTTTCCTGGAGAGAAGTGGCTTCTTTGCTGCCTTTCTTGACACCAGGCCATCCCCCATAAGTCCTCTCCTCAATGTGCAAGCAGATGCCCTCACACCTGCCTGCTGCCATTCCTAAACAAGCTTTGCACTGGTGGTGCCCCGATCCCACAGCTGAATCAACTTTAGGAGACGTTTCTGGCGCTTGCTGGACTTTCTTGGGCGCCCTGAAGCCTTCTTCACAACAACTGAACCTCTCTCCTTAAAGTTCTTGATGATCCGATAAATGGTTGATTAGGTGCAATCTTAGAAGCAGCAATATCCTTGCCTGTGAATCCCTTTTTGTGCAAAGCAATGGATGACTGCACATGTTTCCTTACAGGTAAATTAATATTTGTGTCATTCTCAAAACTTCTGGCCAGGGCTTTACTCAGACCAGCCCATCTGGCACTAACAACCATGCCACGTTCAAAGTCAATTAAATACCTTTTCTTCCCCATTTTGATGCTCGGTTTGAACTTCAGCAAGTTGTCTTCACCACATGTACATGTCTAAATGTATTGAGGTGCTGCCATGTGATCGAAACAATTGAGTACTGTCCGTGATACTTTTTTTATTTGCACTAACATACAATTTTGAGGACAAGCTTTCGGGGAATGTCCCCTTCTTCAAGGTCCAAGCAGTACTATCTTGATATTATTGCTATATTAACCATTAGCCACCCGGCCAATGGCCGTTTGGCGGCTTCAAAAGTGTTGCTGCATTCCGGGTGCACGCCATTTGCCTTGCTCCTGCACATGCGCAGTTTGCGCTAATGCAGAGCGGCGCAGCAGCGCGATCTGTCACCGGCCGTGTACCTCGGACACGGCCGATGACAGATCCGAGTACCGGCTCCCGTTGCTGGTACCATGTGACCTGCTGTGACCAATCACAGCAGGTCACATGACAGTTGTATACAATGGATGGCTTCAGTCATGCCAT